TTTTTCCTCTGTCAAAAACATATTGCATGCCTCTATTACTCCATGGCTAGCTGTGTTTATACAAGGTTTAGTTCATTCAAAGATAAAAAATATCTTATCAATTTCTCATACTCATGTTGTTCCAAACCCCTAAGACTACCACACATCTGCAGTACACAAATTAGGATATTTTATATGGAATCCAACAGTTCTCTTATCCATAGACAGCAACAGTCCCAAGACGTTAAATGTCCACTGAAGGAACCAAAAACATTGTCAAAGCATCCCATGTTGCTTCAGTACTGTAATCAAAAACTGTATTCAAAACTGTAAAACACTTAATGTACTAAAAAATTGTAAATAAGACTCAACTATATTTTTACTTCCACGTCAGGGCGTCAGAGGCTGCATTTACACTGCAGATCTTGATGGTCAATTCCGACTTTGACTGTATCTGATTTTTTTGATGACCTGCTTACCTCATCTTTTAAAAGTGACTCGTATCCGATTGTTTGCATTTACACAGCACACGGCAATGGCGCAATGACCAGGAAAAAAAGAGCGAGCGCTGACTAACAGCTGATAATTAGAGTGCTCTTTTCTCTATTCCTGTATGTAATCTGTTTGCAGCTTTTGACAAGCTGTTTTACTCTAGTTTATGAAAGAAAGGCTGTCATTTGTCCATCTTCTTTTGATATATAGTCTTTTTTTTTTAAACCTTTAGGCATCTTAATGTAATGTCCATGGCGTGATTTATGCATGTGATGTAGCTATGCAATAGTTTTACCTTAGTCTATATTGGTTACATGGCGGACATTGCGCTCTCTCACTCTCAATAATATGCTTAGGCCTGTGCCATATGACAATATGAAAGCTGTTTAAGTCCTCATGTATGGGATTTAAGGTTTGGGACTCTGCTGAAGTCTGTTCTAAAATGAAATGTCAGACTTGACATCTTTCGCTATGGTTATTAATGACGCGCGACTCTCATTGACGGGTGAAAATCCGATCTACTTGCTTACACTGCAGACATAAGAACACAGATCCGATTCATATTGGATAAATTTCCACATATGAACAAGGCCTGAGTCTAATTTGAGTAAATCGGAATCCATGTGATTTGTTTCTGCTTTCATTTACATGGGCCATATCCAATCTGTGCCACATGGGAGAAAAAAATCGGAATTGAGTCACTTGAACAGTGTAGTGTAAATGCGGCCAGAGAATGCACATTGCATTGTATTGCCCGTGTAAATCCTCATGTGCACTCATCTGATAAAGAAGATACAGGTCGACAAAGTTGTTTTTACAACTTTTTGGGTGCACAAAGTGTTCGAATAAAATAAAATTATAGATATGTTTCTAGCAAGGTGCTAACAGGTTGCAGCTTTTGCAGCTACAGTAGTTTATAACTAACCCTACAATAACAACCAGAATTAATTCATTCATTTTCTTTTCGGCTTAGTCCCTTTATTAATCCGGGGTCACCACAGAAGAATTAACCGCCAACTTATCCAGCACGTTTTTATGCAGCGGATGCCCTTTCAGCTGCAACCCATCTCTGGGAAACCCATCCATGCACACTCATTCACACTCGTACACTATGGAAAATTTACCCTATCAAATTCACCTGTACCGCATGTCTTTGGACTGTGGTGTAAACCAGAGCACCCGGAGGAAACTCACGCGAACGCAGGCAGAACATGCAAACTCCACAAAGAAACCCCAACTGACCCAGCCGAGGCTCGAACCAGCGACCCTCAACACTACCTATTGTGCCACCGCGTCGCCCCAACAATCAAAATATTGAATCTAAAGTTCAACAAAAGAACGAGGAATTAAAATTTTACACAATGAGTGCAAACAAGACTAGGAACAGCCAAGAAACTAAAATGAAACTGACATTCTGATGATGAAGAAATTGGCAACAACATGAAAGCTGCTGGAAGTAGTTTTGACAAATGAAGTGACAAATCAGTTACTTTGGATGGAGATAACCATTTCAACATCACCAAAACAACATTGACATTATAGCAGACACTGTAAAAAGGTATTTCCCTGTCACCAAACATTTGTGACAGGGTATTCAAGTGACATTAAATGACAGATATAAAAATATATTGTGTGGGACTACTATAGAAGTTATTATTATTAATAATAATAATAATATTTATAATAACTACTATACGCGTTTTTATTATAAATTATAGATAGTGAAATTTAGCGGTTTTAGTGTGTGTTTTTTTTCTATTTAAAAAGCATGATTGTAAAACATGAGTGCGGTTATAAATGTATTAAAGCATATGCTTGTTTGTTGTAAAGATTTATAATAATGACAAAAAAAAATTCTAATTTGTGCATCTCCAGTAAGTGTGTAGCCATGCTGCCGTTGTAGAGGGTGTATTCTGGGAAATTTTCTTACCCCTTGGTATCAATGTGATCCTGAAAAATCCCCATTTCAAGGGCTATCTAGCCCTTCCCTTTAGCCCTATACCTTCAAGCTATGGAGAATTGGGACACCCCTGCCCCTTCATGCGAACGTGCCAAAAGAGGGGTAGGGGTAAAGGGTAGAATTGGCATTGGGCCATAGTATTACACAAGCGGAACAATGTATTTCTGATGCTAAAGATGCGTTAATTGGCTGATATCTAAAGTGACCATATTGTAATATACAGTTAAAGCTCTTTCAAATAACACTATACAGTAGGTTAACCTGGAGGAATAGAATACACAAGTTCTTTTGTCATAAACTTTCCTCATAATCTTTTATTGTCATTTGTCTTCGCAGTTCTGAAGAGGATGCAGCAAAATACAGGTACAGTCTGTGATGTGCATTTACACCATCAAAGTTTGTTGTGAGGTTAAGAATCTTGTCTGATCTCTCTCTGTTTTTTAGTGGACGTGACTCTGGATCCTGATACAGCTTATTCAAAACTCATCCTGTCTGATGATAGAAAACAAGTGACTTACGGAGCCACTGTGCAGAAACTCCCAGCCAACCCAAAGAGGTTTGACAGTTGTTGCTCCGTCCTGGCAAAAGAGGGATTCAACTCTGGGAAATTTTATTTTGAGGTGCAGGTGAAAGGAAAGACTGACTGGGATTTAGGAGTAGCCAGAGAATCAGTTAACAGGAAGGGAACGATCACAGGGAGTCCTGTGAATGGATACTGGATTATAGTTCTGAGGAATGGAAGCCAGTACAAGGCTCGTGAGTCTCCAACTGTTTCTCTGTCTCTGAAAGTGAAGCCTCAGGTTGTGGGTGTGTTTGTGGATTATGAGGAGGGTTTGGTGTCTTTTTATGATGTGGAGTCCAGCTCCCTAATTTATTCATTCACAGGTCAGACTTTTAGTGAGAAAGTCTTTCCATACTTCAGCCCTGGTACTACAAATGAGGGTAAAAATGCTGCACCACTGATCATCTTAAATGTAAAAAATAATATGTGAATTTACTACATAAATATTAATCTTTTAACACTACGAGTTCTTGTTAAAATATGCAAGTCCAGCAGAATATTCAGCAAGAGCTACTGCCACAGATTCATGCTACATATTGTTTTCCTGAGAAAATAAAAATGGTGGAACATATATTACTTGACAGATATGATTATTTGTAGTGCAACCATGTAATCTGAAAGTATTTATACACTTGTGAGCTGATTTTAATGATTAAATTGATGATACACTGATTTCACAAGTCTAAATCAACTTGAGCAAGGAGCAGGAGATCCCCACAGCTTCAGTGCCTGTATTTTGCCTGAATTCGGGAAAAAATTAGTTACTGCTGAAAATTAAGATTTATTATTGCAAATGAAAAGTCTATTTAGTTTTGACTGTCTATTTGTGAACTTTTCCGCTGTTTAAACTCAGTATATGAAATGCTTGAATGTGGAAATATATATATATATATATATATATATTACGACCTGAGTGGACCGTAGCACATGTAAAATGTGAGATTGCATGTTTCTCTTAAAATTGTATTACATTTTTTTCTGTTTTTGTCATTTTTCACCTTTGAATTAGGTTCTGTCTTCGTTCTAAATGATTTTGAAATATTGAGCTTCAGAGTTTTTGCATTCCTTAGCAGAATTCCATAGCATAGTGTGTAGCATTTGTTTTTTAAATAAAAAGTCTTAAAATGGCCAAACTTATAGAAAAAAAACATCCCATAATGTAAATAAGATAAAACAATTAAAAAAAATATGTCAATAACTCAATTTTGACAAACATGTCAGATCAAATCTTACTTGCCAGCACACCTAGACACATTTTGTTTTTACTCATTTTATATGCTTAAATACATGGTAGCCTGTTTTTTTTTTTTTTTTTTTTTTTTGTCACTTGTCTGCACATTTGAATTATCAGTATTATAATTAGTAATAGATATCAGTGTGAAAAGCTTAAGGAAATACATTTACTTGAGTATATTATAAAGGGTATCTGTGCTTTCACTCTCATACTTTGTTCATCTAAAAAGAGAGTCATCAGCAATTTTCTGAATGATAAATTAATAAAAGTGGAACTAACATTTTCACAAATTTGAATAATTCCCTATTGCTTCACCTCTGACTGTGTCTAGTGAACAAGTGTTATGTGCGCAGACCCTTCACATACTGTACTATACACTACCTGACAAAAGTCTCGCGGTTGATCCCAGTTGAAAGAGCAACAAATAATACTGTTACTTGACTTCTAGTTGATCATTTGGAAAAGTGGCAGAAGTTAGATTTTTTAGATGAATCATCTGTTGAACTGCATCCCAATCATCAAAAATACTGCAGAAGACCTATTGGAACCGCCATGGACCCGATATTCTCATAGATATCAATCAAATTTGGTAAAGAAAAAATCATGGTTTGGGGTCACATTTAGTATGGGGACGTTCGAGAGATCTACAGAGTGGATGGCAACATCAACAGCCTGAGGTATCAAGACATTTGTGTTGCATTTAACTTATACCACCTCATAAAACTCTTGTATATAATGTAAGTTTTGTTTTGAGGCTTAAATTTAAAGTTCTTAGTAAATTTACCATCAATACACTTTTACAAAATATAGTCATTTTTAATTGATTTAAATAATTGAATTCACATGTCCTCAATATTCAGAATACATCTTTTTACTGATGATTTGTTCAACGGATTGAGGGCGGGGCGACCTGTCATGTGCATGAGGACAAAGTAGTATAGCCAATAATCAAGAAAAAAAAATCTGATGGACCAGGCCAATTCCTGCCCTAGCATACAGTTTTTTTTTTCTCGTCAGATAAGTTGCAAAACTTTAAAGTTATTGTTTTAATTTGCTGTATTTTATTCAGCTGCACCGACATAATGCACATTTATGTAACCAGAAGTTTAAGCTATGAAAACAGAATGGAGGAGCAACAGTATGACATCACTGCTGCAAAGTGAAAGTGAAAGTGAACTGACAACAACGCCCTGAAAACTGATTAAAACAACTGAAGAGAAAGCAAATAAGACAACAGTTGACACTCGCTCACATGTAAGTGATGATTACAATATATTGTTTTAGAGAATGGGTTAATGACTTGCTTATAAAGGTACTGTATTTGGCAAATCAAAGATTTACCCGTGAGTCAAACGCACGAGTTTTTGTTGTTGTTTTTGTTAAAACCATATTAAAGTTTGATTGAGATTAAGTCGTTTGATTTGATACAAAGATCAATAAAGTGTTGTTGGCATTTTAATAAGATACATTGAGCAACAATTGCAAGGATTTAATGTGCAGTCAAAACAAATGGAATTTGAATTGAACAGATTGATAAAGACCTGCAAATAGCTAAAAAAAAAATAAATAAAATCAGTTTATACCAATAGGTGAGTATACAAAGTAATATATATATATATATATATATATATATATATATATATATATATATATATATATATATATATATATAATACCACTTATGTGAAAGAAATATAAATTCTCCCCTACATGTTAAATATAATTTATGCTATAACATTAATTTTAAAATACAGCTGTTGTATATGATAAAGCTTGGTTTTGACTGCATGTTGTGTTGTGTGCAGTGATTTGTCCAATAGTTGAAAAGACCAATGGCAGAAACTTTACCAACATCACCAAATAAAGGTAAGGCCAGAGGAAAGGTTCTGGATGCACTACACTTATGCCACTAACCAATATAATTAGCTTGAATCATAGACTATAGATCTCTGCTTATTTTTTGATTGTAATGACTAATAATTATTATAGCTAAAATAAATGTCTATTTGCATGTATTAATGAATTTTATGTGATAAATGGTTCTTCTTCATGTTTGTCTTCAGCTCTGTCAGAGGAGCTCCAGTGCTCAATCTGTCTGGATGCGTTCACTGATCCAGTCAGCACTCCATGTGGACACAACTTCTGTAAGAGCTGCCTGAACCAGTACTGGAACAACAGCCAGACCTACAACTGTCCATTATGTAAAGAAACATTCAATAACAGACCAGAGCTCAAGATCAACACAACACTCAGGCAGCTTGTGCAGGTGTTTAGGCAAAATGAAAATAAATCTGAAGTTCTCTGTGATATTTGTGATAGTGTTAAGAAGAAAGCCCTAAAGATATGTCTGCTGTGTCAAAACTCTTACTGTCAAACTCACCTAGATCTTCATCAGAAAGTTACAAATTTAAAACACAAATTAATTGATCCTGTGTTGAATCTTGAGAACTATATATGTCAGAAACATGAGAAACCTCTGGAGCTGTTCTGTAAAGATGATCAGACATGTGTGTGTTTGCTCTGCGCTGTGACAAATCACAGGAATCACAACACTGTTGCTGTAGAAGAGGAGAGTAAAGAGAGGAAGGTAACTGCAGTTTTATAAAAGTAGAAAATACAAGTTGTAACAGTGTTTCTGTTAGAATGTGTTAAATCTGCTGTTTCTCTGTGTTGTTCTGTCTGAAGCCTCTGATTATGAAGATGAAGACAGATATGCAGCAGATGATCCAGTACAGAAAGAAGACAATTCAAGACATTAAACAGTCAGCAACACTTAGAAAAGTGAGTACAATTATGTACAATCATACAATCAAGAACGGTTTAAAATGGAAGTGCAAGACAACAAACAAAAGAACAAAATAACAAAAATTAATTGAAATATAACAAATAATTAAAAGTAATATACTATAACAGGTAGTAATAGACAATATTACAGAAGAGCATTAGCGAGACTGACTGGAGCGGCACCCACTGTCCCTCATGCTGTTACAGGCAGGGGTCAATAACCTAAACAATCATAACACTCTCTACTCTGAGAGTTAATCCATAAATTGTTAATTCTAAGGGTGTTATTATTATTAGACATTTGTTTGGAATGATCACACTCATCAACAAGTCATCACTGCATTATTAATTCTAAATAGAAATTATCATTGCTTCATTGTATCTGAAAGGCTGGCAACAGGCTTCATAAACACCCTAATAAACATCCAAAATATTTTCAAAATGAATTATCGGACATCATTAAAACTTTGCTACAGAGTTTTAAAGCCTGACAGGATTCACTCCATACCCGTCAACCTTAAAACCTTTTCCAGGATTTTTTCATATTTTCTCTTTCTGTCCCGCTATCATCCCATTAAAGTATTTGTCCCATATTTCTGCCATATTTGTAATCTTTGAAAGATGTCAGTAACATCAACACAGAACTGATCTCAAATGTGATGTAATTGCTAGATATTTTAAGAGTATTATCCTTTCCTTTTATTTTGGCTTGAAAACATTTTGAAATGAATATAAATATGGCCTCGTTCACTTACTTTTCATTATAACGTGTCATCATAATGCTCGAAAGCACAATAATATGAATTGCGTAAGCGTAAAAATATGGATGCATGCCTGTATTGATGTTTTTTTGTTTTAAAACAACATATTGTTTTTTACAAAATGAAGTTTTATTGACTAATCTAACAGAAACTAACACCTAACACAAACACACACTCATACAAGTGTAGAGAAGAGTAAAGGAAGAAAAATAAGAGTTTAAGAGTGTAATCATGCAAAAACCTTGGATTTTGTAAGACCAAACTAAGCGAACCAAAAAAAAATCAATTGAACCCTTCTATGGTTTCTTTAGGGTTATATAGTTTACACCAGTTCAGTATAGAGGTGTTTCTAGCATTTATTGTGTGATGTGAAGAACTCCTTTCTTGGTTCTTTGTTGGGAAGCTTGGTGATTTGCATATGGATTCTGGATGACTGCTGATGAAGAATGTTTAAAGTTTCTGAAAATGTCAATATGTTCCACTTGTACAGTATTAACATTAAATGTAAACGATCGTTCAGTACCTCCTGTTAGCTCTCCAGGGACATCAAACATGAACATGAACACCTACAATCTTGTTTAGCTGTGGTAGTGTTAAAACATTGATTGCAGGAGGATTAAAACCATAATATTAATACAAGAGCAAAATACCTTTTGCAAAACACCTGATTACACACAAAGATGGAATAAAAGTTTACAATAAAAGCTTCCTATACAACTTGCTCAAGACTTATGCTTTTATTCCCTCTTTGTTTGTAATCAGGTTTTTTGCAACAAAGACCATGTCCATTCCAAGCAGGCATTTCTGCTGTACTTCTTTGGAGTCGGATTACATACTGACCATCCAGTCTTTTCTGGGCAGGAGAGTTTGACGGTGTATTATTTGTTGAATAAAGCCAAATAATTATGTGTCTTATCAGCCACATCTGTTACAATGTTAATACACTTGCTGCTCTATTCTAAATAACTTTTTGATAACTTGATTTATGTATACTGGGCCATCATTTTATTTTATTTGAAACTATTTTCTGTTGTATGCTATGTATTAAGTCAATTGTAAATTGTACTGTATTTTTTAGACGGGTTGTTTGTAAAGGAGTGTCAGTATCATTAATACTTAAACTGAATCACAATTTGAGGAACCCTTTTTCATGGTCATATCAATGTTGAATTTTACTGTGGTAGGCAAATTAGAATATTTAGAAAATAACTATTATAAGAATTTTGAATTTGCTTAAGGTACATGTAAATTGTATATTTTGTTAATTAATTTTTCAGGAGACATCAGAGAAAGAGAAGGCTGAGAGCACTGAGCTCTTTGCTGATCTGATGCGCTGCATTGAGCGATGTCAGTCTGAGCTGCTGGAGATGATGGAGCAGAGGCAGAAAGCAGCAGAGAAGCAGGCTGAAGAGCTGATTAAAGATCTGGAGCAGGAGATCACTGAGCTGAAGAGGAGAGACGCTGAGCTGGAGCAGATCTTAGAGACTGAGGATCACCTGCACCTCCTACAGGTCAGTGTCCTTCTGTCTGCTCACATCACAGCGCAACACTTGCTTTAACATTAAGCTGAGGGATTTCTGCTGTCTCCTGCTGTAGATTTACCCAGAGCTGAGCGAACCTCCACACACCAGCAGCTGGACTGAAGTCAGTATCAGTGACACTCAGCTGAGTGTGGAAACTCTGAAGAAAACTCTCACTCAGCTGCAGGACACTCTCAATGACAAACTCTGCTCAAGTGGTGAGAGAATGACTTTGGTTGGTATTATTTTAAATTTAAAACGGGCATCTGACATTATAGGAGACTGATATAGAAAGCACACAATATAAACTTATTCTGGGCCAGCAGCTAGAACCAAGCAATGGTCCCATCTGCCTAGCAGGCCTCTAAGGATGCTTTTACACTTGCACTTTTGGTCCGCACCCAGGTTAGTTTGACGTCAGAGTACGTTTAGCTTTTGTGAAAGTGTCTTCTGAACTTGGGTGAGCACCCACAAACCGTACTTGAGTCCGCCTGAAAGAGGTGGTCTAGGGTACTGTTCACACGAACTCTGGTCTGGTTAATTTCTGGTATGAATGCAAACTTACCAAATATGGAAATGAACCACGAACTGTACAACAAACTATCAATTTCATAAGATTCCTTGATGTGTGTATTTGTGTCTGTGTATCAGGTACTGTACCTTGCTGAAGTGGTACTGAGCCAGGGCAAGCAGTGGTAATGTCTGCTTGTCTCCTCCTAAAACAGCTTCTGCAGACATCACGTTATGTTCTGAACGTTTATAATATTTTTGCAGCAGATAGACACAAGTCGCTTTCTGTATGTCTAAAACCGAAAGATTTAGTAAAAGCAGAACGACCGCGATGTGTGTGTGTGTCTTTCCATTTTGCTTTCGTGTCCGTCACCTGGCAACAGCTGTTCTCAAAACAGCAGCTTGATGACGCAAGTGTAAACACAAACACTTTTAACAAATTCATGTGGTTTGAACATAAAAAATTAAGATGTCCCAATGAAATCTCAAGAATTGTGTTGTTTAGGCTCATTTTAATTAAGTAGTTTGAACAAGTTAAAAACATTTTTTTTGAGTGTTTGAGTGTGTTGTTTCTGCCTTTATGAACTGCTTATTTTGCAATCCTGACATCACATGCTGATTGTATAGTCAATACTTTAAAAAAAAAATGTTAATGCTATTAGGGCTGTGCAATTTTAATGGTCAAATAACGTGCACATTTGTGTCAGAGCGCTGTGTTTAGTGATTATTTATATTAGCCCTTCATTTGTATAACTAACAAACAAGTTGAGAATCAAAAGACATGTGAAAGAGAAACCATTTTAGAGCCGCACTATTCTTAAAGTGACAGTGCGCAATATCCCTGCTGCCGACTATTTTTATTATTAATCAAACAACAAAAGGAGAAAATCCCTCACTGCTCTTGACTGAAGGACTTTTGTAGCTAAAGTTTTTTTCTTACAGTGAAAATGCTCAAAGCACAGTTTAAACATAACAGATTTTAAAAATCATTTCTAATAACTGATTTATTTTATCTTTGATATGATGACAGTACATTATATTTTACTAGATATTTTTCAAGATACTAGTACTCAGCTTAAAGTGACATTTAAAGGCTTATTTAGTGTAATTAGGCAAGTCATTGTATAACAGTAGTTTCTTCTGCAAACACTTAAAAATATATATTGCTTAAAGGGGCTAATAATATTGAGCTATTAAAATAGGTTTCAAAATATTTAAACCTGCTTTTATTCTAGCCGAAAAAAAAACAAATAAGCCTTTTTCCAGAAGAAAAAATATTAATAGTGTGTAGAATAGAAATAGTGTGAAAATTTCCTCCGTTCAACATCATTTGGGAAATATTTACATATAAAAAAAGTCACAGAAGGGTGAATAATTTTAACTTCAACTGATAATAGTTTTGAATAACCGTGATTACAATTATGACACAAATAATCATGATTATGATTTTTCCCATAATCGAGCAGCCCTAGATCCTATACTATGCTATAACACTGTATGTGGACAGGTATTCCAACTAAGTTTTTTTTTTTTTGTACAAAATTTAGTAAGTTAAGGAAATAAATGAATAAATTGTATGCGCAATTTACTTAAAATAAGGGCTAAATAATTTTTAAATAGAGAATAAAATGAATAAATCGTACCCAAATTGTTATACTTTCATGTCATAGGCAGGGCTTCGTTAGAAAGACACAGTTATAATAAAATAGGATTTTTAATATTGAAACGTTTTGTTTTTTAATCTTGTCTCTGTTCCGGGTGTTCACACAAATGACTGAAGTGTAATTTGCAAAGATATTATGAAGCCTGCAATACTGCTAAAGACACAAGCTAAACACACATTCGCTTACACAATTCATGAGAGCATTTGATTTGTTCACTTGCCATTTACTTACAACTGCTTTGTTTACACAACACAAACACAAGGGGCTTCCTAAAGGCAACAAAGATGAAGATTTAAAATTAGTCAACCACTGACATACATTAGTCATTCAAAGGTGAACTATAGACCATTTCAATGTGATGATGTCAGTGGCCCATGAACATTTCCCAGATAGCAAAGAATTCAGGCCCAGATTTAGCATAAAGCTGGCACAGCAAGCATAGCATTCGTGGACCACTGGCAGATATAGCATGGCCCGGGTTTTGCAGAGGTGGCACCAACTTTAAGGTGGCACACAAGACTTGGGCCAGATATCAAATGTAGTATTTGGCCCAGATGTTAAAAATGTATATGTGGGCCACGTAAGTTTGGCTTATCTTGACCCACTTTTAAAATACATTTATATTATTTTTGAGTAGAGAATAAATTCTACCAAACAGGTTGCTTCGAGAAAAAGCATGGCCATAAAGCGAAATAGTTCATACGTTCATCAAACTCATAGCAGTCATGACACACCAAATTATCTGGCCCAGTTCAGGCCCAGTTATGGATTATTAACTTGCCTGAAACCTGGCCCAGATATGGTGCATGTTTGCCTCTTGTATGGAAGCCAGAATTAGTCCAATCATATAGAGCAATTCACTGCGGCGTATGGGCCAAGCAAAAGCTGATTGTGTGTTTCCAGATCTGGGCCAGAGAAATTTTGCCATGTCTGTTGCCTTGTTATCAAACTACTTCATAACTGTAAAAGTGTAATGAAATTTAATTATAACTTAATGTTAAAACAGCTATCTTAACATTATTTATCAATATGTGGCTCTTTTTGGAAACTCAGAAGCTATAGAAATTAAAAGTGTAAAACAGGAAGTACGTTAGGACCATAGTTTTTGTTTACATACCTCAAAATGCTCTATACACATGTTCATTAACTGATATCACAGACATTAAATTGTCATATTTTCTCTACAGTGCTCAAGAGGATACATCAATATGCAGGTACACTCTGTAACATTTATGTTCACATGTGTTTAAATTAAACATTGTTATTTATTACATAAATCTCATCCAAATCTCTTTATTGTTTTAAATTAATTCTTATGATCTGGTCTTTTTTAGTGGATATAACTATGGATCCTGAAACAGCCCATCCCAATCTAATTCTCTCTGATGATGGAAAACAAGTGACAAATGGTGACATCAAGCTTGAACTCCCAGACAACCCAGAGCGGTTTAGCACTTGTTGCTGTGTCCTGGCCAAAGAGGGATTCAACTCGGGGAGATTTTATTTTGAAGTGCAGGTAAAACAAAAGACTGACTGGGATTTAGGAGTGGTCAGAGGATCAGCTAACAGGAAGGGAAAGATCACAGAGGCTCCTGAGGATGGATACTGGGCTGTAGCTTTTAGGAAAGGAAATCAATATCAGGTGTTTAAGTCTCCCACTGTCTCTCTGTCTCTGAGAGTGAAGCCTCAGGTTGTGGGTGTGTTTGTGGATTATGAAGAGGGTTTGGTCTCCTTTTATGATGTGGAGTCCGGGTGTCATATTTACTCTTTCACTGGTCAGACTTTCACTGAGAAACTTTTCCCATACTTTAGTCCTGGAAATGCACACAAAGGTAAAAATGCAGCACCAATGATTATCTCACATATCAGAAAAAGTGAATGATTTTACATTCTAAATATGAAAATAAAAAATATGAATGCTTATTTGAACACTTTTATGTTAGAACATCACATCAGCACAATTTCTTAAAGGTATAGTAATGAATATTTACTGAATATTAACTTACCCTTACGTGGTTCCAAGAATTTATGAGCTTTTTTCTTTCTGTTAAACGCAAAAGATTTTTTGAAGAAAGTTGAAAACCTGAATCCATTGATTTCCAATGCTATGAAGTCAATGGTTACAGGTTTCTAGCTTTCTTCAAAATATCGTGTGTTGAACAAACTAAATATACTCAAACAGTTGTGAAACAGAGTGAACTATAACTTTAAACTTTTGTTTTCTTGCATTAAAACATGTCTGTAAATACTGGTATATTTTTTTAATACATGATTTGCTTACAGGACAGGTTCAGCCTGATTTTCTGGTTTATTTGTTAGTTAAAGACCGCTGTATTATTCAGTGGACTATTGACAGTTCGATCATCTGCATTTCATACAGTATCTCCTGTTATAGATGGTCAGATTTGAGTCCAGTGAAGCAGGGTTTATGTTTCTGGGTGTTTTTGTGCTATTAACAGGCATCTTTCTCCCTATTTTTTAATAATTTAGATGGGATTTTTGTATGCCATTTGGAGAGTGGATAGATGGAGGTTGTATCTGAATATAGACCATTGTTCTATAACTATGTGTCAATCACATCAGCCTATGTGAGATTTTTTTGCCTTTTTTTTATCTCTCTCCGCTGATCATCACAATAACCTATGTGAAACACATGCTTCCAAGCAGTTAATGTCACTAATAAAACCAAAATGCACTTTAAAAGAAGGAGAACAAGAAGGCAGTTTCTTGCAAAAGTTACACAAAACTGTTTAAGATTTAAATATGGATAATTACATATCTATGGCTTGTGAGGCATTTTAAAAATATATATATATGGATGGATGGGCTTTATTGGAAAAAAAAAGTTTGGTTTATAGATGCGGTCAGACGGCAGTCAAAGCTGCACACTTACAGTATAATAGATAAATAAGCGCTAGCTTTTTTTTTCTGGCTTTTTTTTTCTGAGGTCTAATTTAACTCTACAACCCGATAGTCAAGGGGAAACTGAAGACACATCCTTCTGCAACAGTGTTGATGACATCTCTGTGATGGAACCCATGACATTTAGGGTATCTTTACTCACTAGTAAAGTAAAGTGACATAAAATGATGAATGACTCTATAGTCTTCCAACACTATCAATGTATTTGTAGTGGTCTTTGCAGCATACACTAGACAACACTTCCCAAGTTGCCCTTTGCAAAAATGAAAGTTTGTTCACCACCTGGTGGTCATTTTCTGAACAGAGGAATACACCCATATTAGACATATTCGTACCAAATCAAATACCATGCAAGTTTTCTTCACTGTCTTTGGTTATTCTGATCTGGTTGTTGGTTTGTAATGATTTATTATCATACGACTGTTGCAGTAGTTCCCCTTCGGATGGGGAACTTCAATGCTATTAGTGGATTTAATCATAATCCATGAATGGAAGATTTCGTTTCAAAAAGCCAATTGTCTGAAAGAGTATATAACAGGCCAATGAAATGCCAATGAATTGGCAGCGTATGCATGCGCACCTGGAACTTATTGCCAATTAGCTCAGCATATAAGCACAGGTGAAGCAAGGAAACGCCATCCTTTTCGCTTCAGAGACTATTAAAGCTTTCTGAGAAAGTCGATGAGGGTTCCTCCTGCTGTGATCCAGCGATTCCGAGCGAACAAGAGCATTCTCCCGGTCCAGAGTGTGTACACGCAGCGGCAGACGGTCGAGCTGGGTTTCTCCCTTGCCTGGCGTTCTTTGGGTCCTGTCCTCCAGGGCAGTGCGTATAAATTTGCAACTTCACAAAGAGAGCAACATAGTCGTGCAGCACGTCCTTTTCAGGATGGCGCTCCGACGGTGCGTTTCTGGGTGCAGTGTTATCCTGTCCTCGGATGATGGGCATGGGCACTGAGTTGCATGCCTGGGGGTCCAGCATGCTAATGCACTGCTCGCGGGCAGTTCATGTCGTCATTGCGATGCCATGACTGTTGCGCAGTTAAGATCGAGGCTAGCCTTTGCAAAAGGGCAAACCACCCAAGCTGTCCCCTGCACTGCAGTGGGCACTCGGGCAGATCTGAGGGTTTCAGCTAGAGATAATCCGTCGCCCACGGGCCCGCGGACCTCCCGCTCCTCCAAGCACTCCATCCAAGCTTCGGGCGGGGGAAGCGATCTGTCTAACAGATGGTAGCCCTTATGCTTGATGACACCGGAGACTAGACCGCCCCGATCTTTGGAACCTCCACGGGTGGTCCTTAGACGCGAGGAAGACTTAGGTAACCTATCGATTGTGGTGGTTAATACCGTCATTCGGGCTAGAGCCCCCTCCTCGAGCACGCCTATGCCCTGAAGTGGAGTCTTTTTACTGAATGGTGCGTCTCTCGCTGAGAAGACCCCCGAAATTTGCCAGATCAGCGTTTTGCTTTCTTACGCCAAGAGAAGCTAGAGAACAGGCTGTCGCCCTCAACACTCAAGGTTACGTGGCTGCTATCTCCGCTCTCATGACACGGTGGCTGGCAGCACCGTGGGAGCGCATAACCTCATCATCCGGTCCCTCAGAGGCGCTAGGCGAATTAATCCCCGCCCCCCTCTCATGCCCTCTTAGGATCTCGCCCTCGTTCTCCCGAGCCTGCGTCAGATCCCTTCGATCCTCGACTCAGTATCTTAAGATTTCTGTCCCTAAAGACAGCTCTGCTGGTTGCTTTGATATCGATTAGGGGGGATATCGAGGGTCGGGGACCTGGAGGCATTTTTTGGTCAGTGAATCGTGCCTGTAATTCGGCCTGGCTTACTCTCACGTTCCTGAGACCCCACCCGGGATATGTGCCCAAGGTTCCTAACACTCCGTTTTAATACCAGGTAGTGAGCCTGCAAGCGCTGCACACGGAGGAGGTAGACCCAGCCCTTTCCTTACTTGTCCAGTTCGCACTTTGCGTATTTATCTGGACCGCACTCGGAGCTTGGATCATCTGAGCAGCTCTTCGTCTGTTATGGCGGTCGGCAGCAGGGAAGTGCCGTATCGAAACAGAGTTGGCCCACTGTATAGTGCATGCAATCTCTCTCGCTTATCAAAGCCAAGGCGAGCCGTGTCCCCCGAGAGTGCGTGCGCACTCCACTCGGAGCTTCGCATCCTCTTGGGCACGTGCACGCGGTGCCTCTCTGACAGACATCTGTAGAGCTGCGGGCTGGGCGACACCTAATGCTGTGTTCACACAAGATGCGAAACGCGAGGATAAATCGCGCTATTCGCGCGTAAATAGCCGCGTGAACATATTAGGTTACTCGCTTCGTTCGTGCGTCAAACCCCGCTTCATTCGCGCGTCAAACCCCGCTTCATTCGCGCGTCAAACCCCGCTTCATTCGCGCGTCAAACCCCGTTTCATTCGCGCGTCAAATCCGCTTCATTCGAGTGTCAAATTCATTTTAAAACAGACGCGGACTCGCGTGATGGGCAGGGCTTCACTCTGCCCCTTGACTCTAGCTTCATAGCTAAATGGCTAACATGGATTTTATGAAGAAAATAACAGTGTTTATGTGCTTTATGAAGGCTGTAAAACAGTGTCGATACGTTTAGGGCCTTGTCTGAGTCCACTAGATTCTTTCAGAGGTGCATCCAGCTATGTTAGCTGATAAACTCCTCCAGAAACTGATCCTGGATGACGGAGGTTTTCAGCCGTGCTTCTGACTGGGCCAAGCCCAGTTTGATGACTTGATGTCGGTGTTTACTGGAGGATTTCCCCCACGACACCATCAACAGGTTATACATTACAATCACGCCCCCACAAGAGCAAGCTTCTGTTTGGTTAACGCAGCGTGAATGTCCGCTGAAGTTCAGATTTTCGAACTCGAGCGATTCACACTCCGTGTGAAATGCGCAAACGTTCAATTCGCGCGGCACCATTCGCATGTATCGCGTCATTCACACCGTGCCTATCACGCAATTTGCGTCATTCGCGCTGCGCCATTCATGCGTATCGCGCCGCAGGATGTCTGTTCGCGCGTGCCGTGTCTGGTGTGAACGCAGCATAATATATTTGCAAGGTTGCGAGTGGAGCCGGTTTCCTCAAGGGTATTAGTAACCCTTGGTGATTGAGGAAACAACTCGGTGAAGGTGTTGAAACACGCTTGTTGCGCCTGCAGATTCCTCCGAGACCCCCAGCACTGACTCAGCGGAGGAGTCACTTGCTGGCCCACTACGTTGTAGGTCTGCCCGCTGGTCAGTCCGCGTTTTGGGAATAGGTGCCCGCTATGCGTGATCCCCACTAGGCGATCCCATATGCTTATTCAGCCATGGTGCAGTCCCCCCTCACGGGCGGACCCGTGTCTTCTCTCTCGCTAACCATCTTATTATATGCGTACTCCCCCTTCTCAGGGCTAGTCCATATGTATTTTTGCCATCTTATCTGCTCATTGGGTAGCAGATGGCCTCCACAGCGTCCTCCCTATCGGGACTGCACACTTCCCAACGTACTGTTGTATTTTTCTAGAATTGTCTAGACGCTTGCGACTTCCCAAAAAATATCTAAATCCATAAAACTTCTTTTGAAGTGGGATAAGTAAGGACCAGGGACCACGTTGGAGGACCGCGCCTCTCTTTGATGCAGGAGCGCTCACGATATGCCTGGCTATCCTCTCATCGGAGGCGAAGGTAGGGTGCAGTCATTATGGCGTTTTCCATATATTGCCCCATTCGTGGATTATGATTAAATCCACCAATAGTATTGAAGTTTCCCATCCGAAGGGGAACACTCCGGTTACTAAAGTAACCCTCGTTCCCCGAGGAGGGGAACGTAAATGCTATTTAGCATCGCCATAATGACTGTTCCTTGGCTGTAAGTGTCAGTCTCTTAAGCTTAAAAGGATTGCGTTTCCTTGCTTCACCTGTGCTTATATGCGGAGCTAATTGGCAATAAGCTCCAGGTGCGCAAGCTTACGCTGTTAATTCATTGGCATTTCATTGGCTTGTTATATACTCTTTCAGACAATTGGCTTTCTGAAACGAAATCTTCCATTCGTGGATTATGATTAAATCCACTAATGGCATTTCCATTCCCCTCCTCGGGGAACGAGGGTTACTTTAGTAACCAGAGCGTTCTACTGTGTTAGGCTCTTTTTGAGTGTTTATTGAATCTTTAATTGTGAAACATATATTTGGGCTGCACTTTCTGAATATACTATGCTAAAATGCCAATATTGCCCAAAAACAATTATGGTTCATTAGGTTGTGGGGACCCCGGATTAATAAAGAGACTAAGCTTAAAAGAAAATGAATGAATGAATGTTCTAAGTAAATAATTTTAAAAATATAAATTTTTTACTCAAT